CAATTAGCGAGGCCACCAGTGAAAGCTCACTCCAGTCTCGTTCTCTAACACATCACCCCATGCCCACCTCCCCTCAGCCCATGGAGAACCCAAGCACAGCAGCATGGCCTCATGGGGCCAATTTCTTTATCCTGTTGCTGACCTCAGCAGCACTTTAACCCAATCATAGCTTATTATTGAGCGCGTGTATAGCTGTAGTTAACCAATTATAGGTTGTTATGAAGCACGTGCCTATAGTAGATAACTATATAAGCCCTGTTATAAGCATGAATAAAGGAGGATGACCATACTCATATTGGGATCTGTCGTTACTCCAGAATCGCAACTCCCGCTCCGCTGTCGACACTGAACAAGGGAAACTCCGACATTTATCACAGATAAAATACCCAAAGCACAGGAGGTTCCCCAGATACATTGGAAATCACTTGTGGAAGGGACATGGGCAGCTTATTGCTGCTGAAAGACTACTGATTGAATCAGCTTCTTCAGTACGTCTTTGATCTCCTTCTTCCTCATGCTGTAGATGAGGGGGTTCACTGCTGGAAGAACCACCGAGTACAGAACAGCCACCACCAGATCCAGGGATGGGGAGGAGATGGAGGGGGGCTTCAGGTAGGCAAACATGGCGGTTCCGATGAAAAGGGAGACCACGGCCAGGTGAGGGAGGCATGTGGAAAAGGCTTTGTGCTGTCCTAGCTCAGAGGGGATCCTCAGCACAGCCCTGAAGATCTGCACATAGGACAGCACAATGAAAAGAAAACAAGCAAAAAAGGAAAAGGTGTTATATATGACACAACCTCCCTGAGGTAGGAGTCTGAGCAGGAGAGCTTGTGGATCTGGGGGATTTCACAGAAGAACTGGTCCAGGGCATTGCCTCGGCAGAGTGGGAGTGAAAATGTATTGGCCGTGTGGCGAAGAAGAAGGAAAAACCCACTGCCCCAGGCAGCTGCTGCCATGTGGGCACAAGCTCTGCTGCCCAGCAGGGTCCCGTAGTGCAGGGGTTTGCAGATGGAACCATAGTGGTCGTAGGCTATGACAGTGAGAAGAAAATACTTTGCACCAAACAAGAACACCACAAAGAAAACCTGTGCAGCACACCTTGGTAGGAGATGGCCCTGGTGTCCCACAGGGAATTGGCCGTAGATTTGTGGAGAGCGGTGGAGATGGAGCCCAGGTCAAGGAGGGAGAGGTTGAGGAGGAAGAAGTACATGGGGGTATGGAGGCAGTGGTCACAGGCTACAGCAGTGATGATGAGGCCATTGCCCAGGAGGGCAGCCAGGTAGATGCCCAGGACGAGCCAGAAGTGCAAGAGCTGCAGCTCCCGTGTGTCTGCGAATGCCAGGAGGAGGAGCTCGGTGATGGAGCTGTGATTGGACATTTGCTTCCTCTGCGTATGGTTATCTGTTGAGGACAAAAAGGCAGTACTGAGTTAGGCCAGACTTCTCCAAGCAAAACCTATTGAATGTCTCATTGCAACCCCCCACTCAGACTCTCTCTTTTCAGGAAGACCTCTCTGCAGCTCCCTCACTTGAGCTCCAGGTTTTGCTAGCTGAGGGGGCCATTGGGAGCAGGGACTCTGTAATGGACTCCCGAGGAGTCCTTCTTGCTGTGCAGCGAGTGGGAACTAGGAACGCAGGGTGATCTCAAATTAAATGCACTTGTGATATATCAAAGAGCTCTTTGGTGGTGTTGTTTGCAATTTGCCCAACTGCAGAACAGAACTGAGGGGATTTTGTTTGGTTTATTTTGTTCGAGTTGCACCTGCCACGTTTAGGAGTGGTTTTGGATGGTTGAAATCCCTGACATTTCTAATGCACTCCAAGTGAAATCTTGTGGGTCCTGAGAGGCAAAGGGATGGTCCCTTAGTGCAGAGAGAGAAGAGCTGCTCTGCCCATCAGTCCTGTTCTCAGCTGCCTTGTGCTGGCAGCTTGGAGCTGGAGGATGATCACACTCAGGTGTTCCCCTCCTAAAAAGAAACTGGACACTGCTGAGAGCAGAGGAATCCAGGTTCAAAGGGAAGATTGACAGACTCCTTGCCATTTCTCAGGGTATCTGAGGAGGATCTCATCTCTCCCCTCCCAGACTGGGACACAGAGGGATCATTGCAGCTGCCCACGTCCAGCTGCCCAGCAGCATTGCCATGGCCTTAGCACCGAGGTGTCTTCTCCATGGGGATCCTAGGCAGCACAGGGATACTATGGGAGAGCTATTCCCTTCTGGAGGGCACCCTGCAGCCCATCAGGACACCCCAGGGAAATAGCTGAATGTCCTAAAGCTGCCCGGAGGAGACTTGGGCTCTTTGCTCCCATAGACATATCTACATAGCAGGACCCAAAGGGTCAGCGTCTGAACAGGAGCTGAACCTGCCACCCCGACCCCCACCCCCTGCACTGACTCAGCAAATCCAATGGTGAGAACAAGGGCAGCACAGGCAGGAGGGGATGACAGTGAAATGCCACAATGCTCCTGCCAAGGGAGGAGGGACACACAATGACAGCTGGAAATCAGGGGTTTGTCCCTTTCTGGGCTCTGGCTGCTGCAGGGGCAACGCATGCAGAGGCTCTGCTGAGGGTGGGAAAGGAGAGCAGGGAGGAGTTGCTCAGGGGAAGATGCCTGCACCACAGGGACAGCAGAGAGGTGCCCACATCCCCTTCCCCAGCGTTTCTGGCAGCAGCTCCCTCTCACTCCCTGCCCGTCCCCTCTTGTGCAGGTAACTGTAAGCTCTGATGGAGCAATTCAGAGGGACAGGGCAGTGTCTGGGGTCATCACCAGAGGCTGGGGGGGCATTCCTTTGGCCGGCTGAAGTGACAGCAGATGCCCACTTTTAGGACAATGAAGCCTGTTCCTGCTCAGAATGTTCAGGGCAGCCTATAGAGGTATTCCTCTGCACAAATGGAGTCATTGCCATCGGGAGAGCTAAATCTCTCTTTCTTCTCCATCAGCCCTATTTACCAGATCTCCATTGACAGTTATGGCAGGTTTCTCATAGGCACCTCTACAATGCCTAACCTCATGCAGGGCACCCGCTCAATTTAAAGGTGAACTACATCCTGTGGTGCTCCCTGAGAGTCCAGGGCTCTCCAGCACAACCGTGTGCAGCCAGCAGGGACAGCACAAGACCTGCAGGAACACCATCTCCATTCAGAGCAGCCATCTAACAGACCCCAAGAGATCCTTAGACATGTTCCATGCTTTTGTTCAAGCAACCGCAGTGAGGCAAGTCCTGTCCCATCTCTATCCAGTAGACGTAGGCAGTGCTTCTCCCACATCCTTTAGTCATCCCTTTGATGATGCAATCAAGGAACAGACCCATGATTTTCAGCATGTTCCTGGGTCACGGGATGTCCATAGCCAAGGACATTTTCAAAAGCACCTTGTCCTGCCTGGAGATTAGTTTCACTTGCACCACAGGCCCTCCGGGGCTGCAGAGACACCACAGACAGCAAAGCCCTCTTCTGCCAGGGCTGCGCGGTCCAGCCCTGCCTCTCTCTGCTCCTGAGGACAGCAGGGTTTGCTCTCCTTAGGGACACCTCATTTCCTCTTTACATTGCCATCTGCCATCCACCCCAGCATGCTCTGAAGCAAACCCTTTGCTTGCATGGGACCTTGGGCACTCGGTACCAGCTTGCTTTGTTACACGTCTGAGCTTGGCCCTGGTGCCACAGCTGAGGTCCAGCACATCTCTGCTCTGACATAAAGAACCTATAATGAGGGAGAGGAAGGGGACAAAGTCTTCTTTAACCAGCCTGAGGAAACCTTGGGATCAATGACCTCACGTCTTACTGGGGACTTGAATGACCCTGTGTATTGGGTTTACTTGACAAGGTTTTGGTAGTGGTGAGGGGGGCTGCAGGCATGGCTTAGGTGAGAAGCGATCAAGAGCTGACTCCATGTTGGATAAAGCCAATTCCAGCTGGCTCCAAAATGGACCAGCCACTGCCCAAAGATGAGCCAATAAGCAATTTTCATGGCACCTCTGTGAAAACATATTGAAGAAAGGATAAAAACCGATGTGCAGCAGCTGTACGAGAGAGGAGTGAGAAACAACCCTGCAGACACCAAGGTGAGCGAAGAAGGAGGAGGAGTGAGAGGGAGGCTTGGTGGGCACCTGGGGGCCAAAAGTCAACCCACCAGCCCCTGACATTCACAAGACAGCACAGTGCAAATGCTCCTTTAGGTGTCTGGAGGTTCTTTGCCTCAGCTTTTTAGCACAGCTGCCAGGTGGGCCAACAAATGTGATGCTCACCTGGAACTGAAACCCTGTGTCATCTTTGTCAGCCCTGGCTGTAGTAGCGAAGAAATAGTGGAGTCTCAGCTCCCAAGGGCAGTGAGGCAGGAGAGGAGCAGAGTGCAGATGCCAGCTCTCAGAGTGGCAGGCTTTGGCCTATGCCAGGAACTTTCAGTGGGCAGTATCGCTCAAGGGGAGCAGAATTCAGTGCAATTGCTTTTCAAGGGCAGCATCCTCTAAGCACATAAAGCGTCCACGTCTATGCTGCAGCAAACAAGTGGACATCTCAGGACACCAGCTTGGCTGAACAAGCAACTCATTGGGAATCTCCATAGAAAAAGGGAAGCACAAAGGGTGTGGATAGAGGACCTCACTTCAAAGGAGGAATTTCCAAATAGGGAGGGTTTTAGGAAAGCCAAAGCTCCCCTGGAGTTAATACTTGCAAGGGGGTCCAAGGGCATCAAGATGAGCTGTTAGTACTGAAGTTACAGTTGAAGAACAAACAAAAACAGTGTGTGGCACTGCTGCATCTAGTAAGAGAAGGTGCAGATATGTCTGAGGTACTCTTTGTCCTCTTTGCCTCTGTCTTCACCAACAAGGTCTCCCAGGACTTTGTGCCTTGAAGCAGGACTCTGGAGGTGACAAAAAAGCCCTGGATGTGGATCAAGTCAGGGGTTACTTGAGCAAGCTCAGACTTTGCCAGTCCACAGAACTGGCGGGGCTGCATCCAAGGGTGCTGAGAGAGAAAGCCAAAGTCATAGCAAGGTCACTCTGTGTTGTCTTTGCAAGTTCATGGAGATCAGGGAAACTCCCTGGCAACTTGGAAAAAGTATGCTGCACACATCTTTCCAAAAGCCACAGAAGATGAGCTGGGGAACTAGAGGCTCTTCAGCCTCTCTTTGGTGAGGAGCGTGTCACAGACTGTCTTTTGGATTCCATTGCTGTGTGCCTGAAAGAGAAGGTGACTGGATGAACCCAGGGCAGATCATGCCTGACCATCCTCATTGCTTTCTAAGATGAAAGGACTGCATTTCTTGATAAGGGAGGAGCGGTGGGTTTCATTTAGCTGGACTTCTCCAGGGCTTTCAACACCATTCGCCACCATATCCTTGTCTCCATGTTAGGACATTACTGTTTGGATGGGTGGATGAGTAGATCAGGAAAGAAACAGTTGATGGCCATGCCCATTTAGTCCATGACTTGGGCTCCGTGTATTGTGATGGTCACAATACATGTCCATTCAGGACAGGAAAGATACTTGTATTGGATTGTTGGGCATCGAAACCAGATCAGGCTGGATCGCCACTGCCCTTGTCTGGTTCCTTACGAGGTTAACCCTCCATTTTTTTGGGTGCCTCCTGCTGTAGTACTTTTGCTGTACAACTATGACGTCATACAGCTAGGGTACCATACTGCTATGGCATACTACAACACAAATCATGGGTTATTTTCACCCTAGATTTTAATCTCATTGCGATGCTAGGGGCATGAGGAGACAGAGGCCAGTGTCTCCCTGTGTCCCCTCCTCAGTTCCCTCACATTATTTGCAGGTGTTGCACTCCTGAATTCATTACCTTCATGAGTAAAATTCACCTGTTCTCCACAGATGTCTACACTACAGCTATTTATGTTTGATGATGCTTTTCTAGACAGTCTTTATGCCTTAAAAAGAAAGAGAAGCGCACAATATCTGAACACTTTCCAAAAA